ATTTGCCTGATATCAAGGTTGCTGTCTTCTATGGTGGTGTCAATATCAAGGTTCACAAGGATTTACTAAAAAATGAATGCCCTCATATTGTTGTTGGCACACCTGGAAGGATATTGGCACTTGCCAGGGATAAAGAACTTAGTTTGAAGAATGTGAGACATTTTGTCCTTGATGAGTGCGACAAGATGCTTGAGTCACTTGGTATGTTTTGGATATCTGGTGCATTTATCCACATTATGTTATATTTTGTACTTCTGTTGCATTTGTTGACTGTGTTTTTCTTCATCTTGTAGACATGAGGAGAGATGTGCAGGAAATATTCAAGATGACACCTCATGATAAGCAAGTTATGATGTTTTCTGCAACACTTAGCAAGGAAATAAGGCCTGTTTGCAAGAAATTTATGCAAGACGTAATTGCTTTTCACCACATCTCTTGTAATCTTTTTTATTATTATTATTATTATTCTTTCATTTTCTAAGTGTATTACACATATATCCATTGGAAAATTTCTCTTTGATTCTCTGTCCCCTTTTAGTGGCTTAAAAGTCTTATTATATGGAAGTTATATAATATTGCTTCCTAAAGTTTTTGGAATATGTCTGGCATATGCTGCACTTATTTCGAATTTGTTAGATACTTCGTGTTTTTTTGAAAAATTTCAATTTATGTCATATTTGAAAAGAAAGATTGAATGCACTTCGGGTAGCTTGGTCATTTCCATGTGCTGCTCTCATGGTAGAATGGTCCACTGATGGTTATTATTGTATTTTTTCCTGTCAGCCAATGGAAATTTATGTAGATGATGAGGCCAAGTTGACTCTTCACGGGCTTGTACAGGTAAATGTTCATACAGACACTGATTTAGCCATTTTCCTTTTTCATTTCCTTAAATTATTTTTATTTTTCTCCTTGGCAGCACTACATTAAACTTAGTGAGATAGAGAAAAATCGCAAGTTGAATGACCTTCTTGATGCCCTGGATTTCAACCAAATTGTCATTTTTGTCAAAAGTGTCAGTAGAGCAGCTGAGCTGAACAAGCTGCTAGTAGAGTGTAATTTCCCCTCTATTTGCATCCACTCTGGAATGTCACAGGAGGAAAGGTATGCATTACTTGATGTCTCATCATCTAATTGCATGTAGTGTTATGTGGCTTATTAAACCTTTGAAATGGTTTTTTTCATATTTTAATTAAGTTATTTGTTGATTATATTGCTTCTGCAGTCTTGCTTGTTTTTGGTTGGTGCAAGTATTTACTTACAGCCAGCCCTAATTAGTCCTTTGAAGCATTTGTTTTTGGCATGTGAGAGTCTAAACTTTTTATTATGTTGGTTACCTATCCTTATCAGCATTTTAGTGTGTCTAAGTAGTGTAGAACAAGGGCTTTACTTTGCTACTGCATCTCTTTAGGTTAATATGAGGTTGTTCTGGAATCTGATGCTCCTTGATTTCTTGTTGTAAGGCTGACACGATACAAAGGTTTCAAGGAGGGGCATAAAAGAATTCTTGTGGCAACAGATTTAGTTGGACGGGGAATTGATATTGAACGGGTTAATATTGTTATCAACTATGACATGCCAGATTCTGCTGACACCTACTTGCATAGGGTAAGTTCTGTTTCTTTATTTCAGTTGAGCCAAAATCCTCTTAGCAGAAACATTTTCTTATATCTTTGACCTTAATCGCTGGGAATCACTGCAGGTGGGTAGAGCAGGTCGATTTGGCACCAAGGGGCTTGCAATTACTTTTGTCTCATTGGCCTCTGACTCTGATGTCCTTAATCAGGTTCTATACGTCCCAAATTCTAGCATCATTGTTTTGAATGTTCACCTGGTTCTCTTTATCTTCCCTGTTCCTTTCCACTTTTTAATTAAGTTTTACACTTTTACCATCTTCATCTGTTGACTTCTACTCTGGTTGTTCCAGGTTCAGGCAAGGTTTGAGGTGGACATAAAGGAGCTTCCTGAATCAATTGATACTTCTACATACAGTAAGAACCTTCTGTGTTGTGTATGACCGCTCAAAAGTTTTACTCTATGCTTTTGTATATTTTTGGACTTGGGAGGAATGTTTTAAAGATATTTCTAGCGCTTGATTCTGGGAAGTTTTGGCAAATTGCCTTTTCTATTCTCATTTGACCATTCATCTTCTTATTTTGCCATTTGATGCTTAATATCTTGTAGCTTGATTTTGAAATCTTACTATATTCTTTCTTCATTTTGTAGTGCCATCATGATGGAAGTCATGATTGCAGATGCTTGAACATTGTTGGCGATTAGGCAATCTGGGAGGGAAAGATTGTGCTGGAAACTGTAGGATATCCTTGTTATAGTTCTAATACTTGGTGAGGGAAACAACTGATTCAGTTGTTTATTTGTTTCTGATGGTATTGATAACTTCAGTTAGTACCCGATATACTGAAGGTAGCGGTGCACCAGGAGACTGACATTTCGCTGAATATCCGCAAATAACAGAAATTTTGGTGCTAGCTGGACATTTTTGAGGTTGTATTTGTCATCAAGATATTTCTATTTTTATTCATTTCGATTTGGTTTACCCCTGTTCTTGCACCAGCGTGTTGACTTCGCAATAGAATGAAAGTAATTAGTTGACAACTTTTATGGACAAGAAGTTCTTACCATATGATGTGGAATTTTGTTTTTAAAGGGTGTGTGATGTACTCATTTTTATGTTACTCATTCTGTTTCAATCAAAATAAGTTATTGTTGTTGTTGGTTTTTTCTTTTCTTTCTTTGTTTTTTTTTTTTTTTTAATAAATAAAATAAGAATTTAGACATAATTTTTTTTCTAATATTACTATAAAAAAGAGATAAACTATAAGGTTAAGAAGGAAGAAAATATGTATTTTTCTTTAAAAATAGGATAGTTTAGTCTTTTTTAATAAAAATTTATTGAAACGATATAATTTAGAGATAATTTTTTTTTCTAATATTACTATAAAAAAGAGATAAACTATAAGGTTAAGAAGGAAGAAAATATGTATTTTTCTTTAAAAATGACTACTTTTTTTGGATGGATTGTCTGTTATTGTTAAAGGAATTGTTGTTTGAAATAGAATAGAATAACATGGCTTAGTCTTCATACCTGATTAACATGAAAGTTCGAAGAGAGATAGAACATTGTAATCCTGTAATCTTATTTTTCCCATTAACTCTAAGACTAAGGAAAGATCGCCGGGCCAATCTGGTACCATATTTGAAAATGTGCACGAGGAATTTAGAAATGTGTACTTTTTTGTACCTTAGAAGACTAAATGATGATTCTTTTACATAAAAGAGCAAATGAGGATCAATCTTCCATTGATCTAGTTGATACAGCTGATCTAGCTGTCACTGGTATCATCGGTTGTGTATTCCTTTTTTAGAAAAACAATTGTTCAAGAATTTTGTGTTTTCATTGTATGGTAAGAAATACCTCTTTAGGTAAGGGAGTTTTATTAAATCAAAAACTTAATTGCATATCGGTCATTTAAGATTAAGTTTTTTTTTTTTAATATCTCTAATGATGGATTATATAAAACTAGATAAATTATATAAGAAATAACAATCATCCTTTTTTCTCAAATTATTTTTTATACAACTCAAGGTTTGAATTTAAAATTTTTAATTTAAAATTTAAATTTAAAATTTAAAATTTTTAATCAGTCAAACCACTCAATTAGAAGTCCAAGATTAAGCTTTTAATAGCAATGTAGAAGCGTAAAATATGATCCATCAAATCTAAAGATCCGTACAATTCTCCCTTGTAAACACATCCTTGACATTGAATGCTATATCTCATTTAAAAAAAATTTCCTTGATTATTACTTCTAGAAAAAGAAAAAACATAAAAAAAATAAAATTAAATTAAGAGTAATGCTATAGTGACAATTTTTTTGTATCACATTTTTATATCATCTTTTTATACAACTTACACATATCATTAAATGAGTGAATGCATTCAATATCAAGTGTTTCATATAAATTAAAATAATCAATTATTTAAATGACACATTAAGTTATATAAAAAAATTGTACAAAAAAATAGTACAAAAAGATAATACAAAAATGTTATCCCAAAATCATTTTCCTAAAATTAAATAGAGTAAGATCTGGGGAAAGATGAATACAAAGATAAAGGTTTGGGACCAATGGCCATCAAAGAAGCAATGTCCTAGAAGTTTGGGAAATTTGGTAATGTTATGACTTAAGTGAAGATTAGTTCTTATTCTAAGGGTAATTGGCTGCTTGCCATGGATGCATGAGCCGTTCTGTACGGCCGCCAGCTCCTTTTCAATGGTTTAATGCTCAAGTTTAATTCCAGAAAGCAAATGAACGTGGTCCAAATTGTACCATCCTTGCATCTTGGGTGTTTGCCCCCTAATTAAGCTTCCATCAGGTTCAAAAAAGCCAGACTTGGATACCAAGTTACTTAATTTTTCAAACACTTGATTCCAATACCATTGTTAGTAAATCCTTGCAAGATATAAGTACAAAAGAAGAGATCAAGTTCTAAAATGCAATAGTATTTGGTTCTGAAAAATGTCTAGAATGGTGAGGATGCATTTTCATAAGAGATGTGTTTTTGAGTCCTGAATTTATCTGTTCTTTTATTAATTACATACCAGGAGAATAATGTTATACATAAACGTTCAGGAGCTGTTTGCTGTATTTCTGATATTGTGCTTTGCCGCCCCCGGATTAAGCAGCGCAACAATTTCGTTTAATGTGATGAATTATGGAGCTGTTGGGGATGGAAAAACAGATGATTCTGCAGTAAGTCATTTTTCTTGCCACTTGATTTACACCATGTCATGAATCTAAAAGTGCCAACAAGTTAAATATTTTGATATTTTCTGCAAAATTCATGTATATAGGCATTCTTAAAAGCATGGAAAGCTGTGTGCCAAACTGGATCAGGAATTCCTATCCTCATCATACCAGCAGGGAAGACATTTTTACTGAAGCCTGTGACATTCAGTGGACCCTGCAAACCCTCTCACATTTATGTTCGGGTAATATAATTGATTTAATTTCTCAATATATATTAGCTTTTTTGTAAAAATAAAAAAAAAAATTGGCATTATTCAAAACATCTAGAACTGATAATATTTTTTATTTTGGGATTGAATGAACATAGTTTTCAGGAAACGTTGTAGCACCCAACTCGAAAGCGGAGTACAAAGGTTTCCACATAAATAGATGGCTTGCCTTTACAAATGTAAATGGCCTTTTGATCAGCGGAACAGGAACCATTGACGGCCGGGGATCTGTTTGGTGGCCGAATCCATGTTTAGATAAAGCAATAAAAGCAAGTCAACCGCATGCTTCTCGTCTCCTTTCCCTTCCATTCTGTTTCTATATAATTTTGTCACACATATATGTTACATATGTATGTCGATTTTCCAGGGTGTGACATGCAAAGGACCCACTGCATTGACATTTTATAGATGCAACGGGCTTGTAGTCAAGGGATTGAGACATACCAATAGCCAAAGGAACCACATCACCATATCGGGTTGCAATGGTGCAAAGATCTCAAACCTGCATATAAGTGCCCCAAGTGACAGTCCCAATACTGATGGAATCGATATAGCTAGCTCAACCAACATCAGGATCTCCAACTCTTTCATTGGGACTGGTATTGTTCACTTTTCTTTCTATTTGATCTATCCATATCTAATTGTAACTAATTGTTTTTCCCTGACTATGCAATTATCGGTTTCAACATTCCTAATTAAGCTTTTCTCATTATTAATTATGTTTACTGTTTAATCTGTAGGGGATGATTGCATAGCTATCAGCTCAGGTTCATCTAACATAAACATTTCAGGTATAGATTGCGGCCCAGGACATGGCATAAGGTTAGTAAACAAAAATATATAGCAATCTCTCTTCTTCTATCTGGCCCATGTCTTGAAAAACCGTTTAGTTGACACTTGACCCACTAAACTTATCTAGCTCCTATTAGCTGGTGGTAGTAACTGAATATGAATTCGAATTTAGCCAACTCAATTTAGGGTTATCAGATGGGGTAGGATTGAAAAAATGAGAAGAGTTATCAGTACCAAAAGAAGCTAGCAAATCCAGAAACCAAACCACTCATCCAAATGAATGTTGGGTTTACAACTTAATCATCTTCATTTAATTGATCTTTTGCTTAAATTCGACATTTACAAAGTCAGTACATTTTCCTAGCATTGGAGCCTTGGGGGTGCACGGAGAGCAAGACACGGTAGAAGAAGTACATGTGCGGAATTGTACATTCAAAGCAACCATGAATGGAGTTCGAATCAAGACATGGCAGGTAATCACACTCCCCTATGTTCTAAAGTAATTTAGTCGAAAATAAACAAAATAATGTAATAACTAAATTCTTTTATTTTTATTTTATTTATTTATTTTTTTGATTTCTTTTCATATATATATATAGGGTGGGAGTGGATATGCAAGGAAAATCACTTTTGAAAAGATTAAATTCGTAAATACCGGTAACCCTATTGTAATTGATCAATACTACTGCCCCAGCGGTGGATGTCAAAATGAGGTTAGTAAACACATATACGCTAAAATGATATATTTGTTCAACACAAATAATGCTAACCTTTTGTGTCTTGATTATAATTTAATCTGCAGACAACAACATTTAAGATAAGTGATGTATCATACAATTTGATTACGGGAACATCATCCACGGAAAAGGTGATCAATTTTAGTTGCGATAAAAATGTTGGCTGCAACAATATTGTGCTTGATCATGTCTACGTGACAGCCAGTGTTGCAGGGAAGATGGCATATGCCTATTGCTATAATGCTCAGGGAAGATTAAGTCATACTAAGCCCAGTGTGAAATGTCTATTGAGTTAAGTCCTTAAGTTAATCTGTTTGATTTGGAACCTGAGAGATTAAAATTTAAGGTTGTTGATTGAATAAGCCATGTCGGGGAGTAGACATTCCTGTGACTTTTCTTTATGGACTTAGTGTTGTGGTCTTCCTAGATAGA